AATCCATCAGCAGTAAATGTATTTCTTAACTGATAATTATTCTTTTTTTTAATATTTATTGATTTATTATGTATACAATATTCTGTCTGTATGCCTGAAGGCCAGAAGAGGGCGCCAGACCTCCCTACAGATGGTTGTGAGCCACCATGTGGTTGCTGGGAATTGAACTCAGGACCTTTGGAAGAGCAGGCAATGCTCTTAACCACTGAGCCATCTCTCCAGCCCCCGATAATTATTCTTATTGTAGATAGTTTAACTGTGTTAGAGCTAAAACTGCTTAGACAAAAAAGTGGGAGATGTGGAATAATCTTTTGTACAGTGAAGATGTGTCTTTGCTAAAGCTCCTTCAGATTAGTTTAATACAGAGCTGAATGGCCAGTAGCTAGGCAGGAGGTTTGGCCCGAGAGAGATGCTAGAGGACATGGATAAAACATAGGAGATGCAAGATGGAAAAAGAGGTAAAAAGTCATGAAGCAAAATGTAGACTAAAAAAGTGGATTAATTTAAGTTATAAGAGCTAGTTGAGGGGCTGGACAGATGGCTCAGTGGTTAAGAGCACTGGCTGCTCTTCCAGAAGCCCCAGGTTCAATTCTCAGCATCCACATGGCAGCTCACAACTGTCTGTAACTCCAGTTCCAGGGAATCTGACACACTCACAACAATACACATAAAATAAAATAAATTATTAAAAAAAGAGCTAGTGGGCTGGAGAGATGGCTCAGTGGTTAAGAGCATTGCCTGCTCTTCTGAAGGTCCTGAGTTCAATTCCCGGCAACCACATGGTGGCTCACAACCATCTGTAATGAGGTCTGGTGCCCTCTTCTGGCCTGCAGACATACAGACAGACAGAATATTATATTCATAATAAATAAATAAATATTAAAAAAATAAAAAAAATAAAAAAAGAGCTAGTGAGACAAGCCTAAACCATAGGCCAAGCTTTCATAATTGTAAGTCTTGTGTCATTTTATGTGAGCTGGTGGCCCAAAGAAAAATCCATTACAGAGGATGCTGTGTCCCCTGGAACTGGCGCTACAGACTAATAGTAGATTGTCATGTGGGTGCTGGTATTTGAACCTGGATTCACTATAAGAGCAGCCAGTGCATTTAATTGCTGAGCTCTCTCTCCAGCCTCCTGGAATTTTTCAAAAGTATAATCTGTTATCAGACCTAGAGATAAAGCTAATGTCATTTACAGTGCTGACAAGTCCTTGGTCCCTTGAACTCCGCTAAATGCAGAGTTGTGCCCATGAGCTCCACCTGGGGAGCTGAAGAACCCTCCTGACTCCATTTTGGAGGCAGGAGCCATTATGCTGTACTTTTAAAAATGAGTTTCTATTTACTGTTGAGAGTTGAGTTGCTCACAGAGCCACAGACTGTGATCGTGTAGTGGGGTCTCATTCCTGAAGGGGCCCAGCTCGGTAGCCATCTCGACAGCCCATGGTCCTGTGCAGACAAACAAGACCAGCGAGAAGCATCCAGCTGCCCCTCCCTGCCCGACACTGGGACAGCTCTATGCACAAAGACAACCACACCTGAAGCAAGGGCTCACCTAAGCTCCCACACGACTGTGAGATAAGTCCCTGGTTATACTTTAATAAAACCAAATAAATAGAACCAAAAATCTGGTATCTCTGCTGGAGACACAGTGTTGGGGATATCTTAACAAACTTCTACTACCCATGTGGTCCTGTCCAGTTCGCAGCTGCTTCCCACACACCCACACACTAGGTTCCCCAGGGTGAATCCCGGTCTTTCTGTTGCCCTTTAATAAAGAAATTCTATGGCCACTTGCTGAGGCTGAAGAGGTTTTGTTTTGTTGTTGTTTTTTTTTTCATTTATTATGTATTTGTTGTGTGTCTGTATGCATACATGGGCTGCAGGAAGTCAGAGAACAACTTACAGCATTTGGTTCTCTCCTCCGACCACATGAGTGCCTGGGAAGCAAACCGTGCCTTTACCCACTGGGCCAGCTTGGCAGCTCCAAAAGTAAGCTTTATTTCTGCTCAAGCCTCAAACCTCCCTTCCACAAACAGGAGACGCGGTGAAAGAGCGAGAAGAGAAAGGAGTTAAAGTGCACACAGGACAAGGGCAAATTTCTCAGCTGACGTGGCCAGAGCTGTCACGGGCTCCGCCTGCATACCGCAGAGATTCCCTTCCCTGTGTCAGTTTCCTGGCAAAACTTCCTCAGACTCAGGGAGCTACAAACGGTTCACTCAAGGACCACATGGCTGCTAGGCGTGAGAACCCCAGCCACAGTTCTTCAGGGAAGGCCCAGCTGCCTCCAGGCGCCTTTATACTTTTCCACGCCTGTGAGTTCTCTGATGCCGCGTGAAAAAGCCCAGGTGGCGGAAGCCCTTCCCACAGTGCTCACACTCATAGAATCTCTTTGCCAGGTGGACCCTCTGGTGGATACTGAAGCTCTTGGGCCACCGGAAGGCCTTCCCACACTCGTCACAGGTGTAGGGCTTCTCCCCGCTGTGAATCCGCTGGTGGTGGCTGAGGTTCTCTTTAGTACGAAAGGCCTTCCCACAGCTGTTGCAGTAGAAAGGCCTCTCTCCAGTGTGAACGCGTTTGTGCCGGAGGAGGTTTGACTTCTGTTTGAAGGCCTTCCCGCAGTCACTGCACACATATGGACTGTGTTCAGTGTGGATCTTGCGATGCTGTGTTAGGCGGTCCTTCCAGTTGAAGGCCTGTCCACACACCTCACAGCCAAAGGGCTTTTCACTTGTGTGATTTCTCTGGTGGCGCAGAAGGTTTGAAACCCAGCGGAACGTCCGGCCACACTCAAAGCACTTAAAGGACCTGGTTCCGGTGTGTACTGTCTGGTGAGCAGCCAGGCGGCTGTAGCAGCTCAGTGCCTTCCCACACGTACTACAGATGAAGGGCTGTCCCCCTGCACCGTTCTTGCACTGCTCTGTGAGGCCTGGTTGCTTCTTGCAGGATTTTCCACACACCTGGTTTTGGAAAGCATCCTGTCCATGCACTTTCTTCCCAGGGGTGGCTCTGGGAAGGTTCACCTTACCCGATGTCAGGACACTCTTCAAGGCAGGCCCTCTCTTGGCTCCTGTCTGTGGATGGGCCCTCTCATGAGCCGAAGCCAGGTCACAGGGTCTCTTAGGATCCACGGACTTTCTGCCTCCTGTGGAAGAACAGACACATTTCAAGGAACTGGGTCAGTGACAAGTCAGCTCACAAAGCAGCTACCCAACCAAAGATGAAGAAAAAGCTATCAAGTGTCAACCAACTCAATCTACTGCAGGAATCAAATGACATGAATTATGAAGAAAATGTGTTCAGTGCATACAGATGAGCTTAAACTAACAAGACTTAAAGTGAACCCAATGTTCACCTGACCCAGATAGTGGAAGACAGGGCCAGGTGCTCCAGCACAAAAGAAACCATAATAGGTTTAAATGGCCCCAAACCCACCAAAAGCCTACTAAGCTTGCATCAGTCCAAGTAACGGACCTTATTCCTACCATGGAAGTGAACCTGGGACAGGCATTCAGAGCTGGCTCTCTGCAAATTAGAACCGTCACCCTATGAGCCATATCTTCCCGCAAACAGAGGCCTGAGGCACTCCCCAGCTGGGGGCTCCACACAATCTGGGGCTCTCCCAGCTTATCTCAAGTACACAAAACCACTTTGTTTCACTTCTGGGAGGATGTGGAGTAAAAAATAAAAACCCAGCACAGAGATATAGCTCAAGAAATGCTTCCCACCGCTCAACTAAGGCCTTGAGTTCTATGCCTATCAAGGCAAAAGAAACAAACAAAAAGACCCTCCGTAGAACCTGAAGGAAAAAGCCAGGTTCTGTCCCAGTTTTACAAATGAGCACACACATGTGAAATAGAGCACCTGCCCCAGTATCACGAACCTGGAACATATCTTCTGCCAAATGGCTGTCACAGTCAGACCGCAGCTGCTCCTAGACTTCCCACAGATAGCACTAGGACACTGCCTCCCTTTCTCCAACACCTCCATTTCCATAGCAACCTCACCACAAGGGTCCATTGGCGCATGTACACGTCCCTCCCATCAGAGCTTCATGGCAGAAATATGCCACTCCTGCACCTCCAAAGTCCCTAACTAAAGTGCTCTGCAGGCGGGAGAGATGACTCAGAGGGTTAGGAGCACTCGTTATTCTTCCAGAGGTCCTGAGTTCAATTTCCAGCAACTCCATGGCAGCTCACAACCATCTATAAGATCTGATGCCCTCTTCTGGCATGCAGGCAGACAGAACACTGTATATATAAGTAAAGAAATAAATAAAGGCACTCAGCATCTACTCTCCCACTGTGTCTGTCTTGGGGTAGGAAAAGTAGCCTTACTCAGTGCCAGGAAATATGGGACGGTCGACCAACACCAGCCCACCCTCCATCTTGCTTACCTGGGCAGACACCTTTTCGTGCTTCTAGAAACTCAAGTCTTTCCCAATCTTCAACCCATGGTTCATCCCACTGTTCCAGGTGAGAAATAAGGTCTGGTCTAGGGCCGCGGTATCCTTTTCAAAAGTGAGAAATGGTATCTGATTTGTGTAAAAGACAACGTTAAAGCCAGGACTCAGACTAGCTCTGGGAAGTACAAGATGACCCCAGCAGCCCGGTCAGCCCTTGTAGATCCCTTGGAGAAGCTGCCTAGAAGTAGGAATGAGGCAGAGAGAGAGGCTTACAGGAGGGAGACGGGAATGTGCATGTATCTATCTGCACACGAGCATACACACACTGACACAAAGCCCAATGTAGTTAGTTCTTTGAGGAAAGAAGTCAGGCTACCCCGAGATGCCCTTGATCAGACGTGGTCCAGGGGTCTTCATACAGGACCCACCAGGCTCCAGAAACTAACATGCAGCCCTTACCCAGTTCGATGAAGTTCCTAAAGTTTTCCAGCATCACGTCCCGGTAGAGGGTCCTCTGTTTGGGGCTGAGACACTCCCACTCCTCCCTGCCGAAGTGCACGGCCACATCTCTGAAAGTCACTGGCAGCTGGTACAAAGATGGCTCCAGGACTGCCTGCTACTGAGAGAGCGTGAGTCAGAGAGAGCATGCTAACAACCCTTACACTGTGCAGGGAGAAGGGGGAGAAGGGGTAGGGCAGGCAAAGAGCTCAGTGACGGTCAATATTCAGAGAATCACCTAGGAGACACAGCCCTGTGGATGTGTTTGTGAGGGAGTTCCCACACAAGTCTAACCAACCCTGAATGTGTGCACGATCATCCCATGGGTGTGGTTCCAGTCTCAGGAAAAGGGAAAGACAGCCGGCTGAGTGCCAGCATTATCTTTGCCTCCCGGCCAAGGATGCAATCTGTCCATCTGCAGCTCCTGGTCCTGCCTCCACGATGGGCTGTGTCCCTTCAAACTGTGAGCCTAAACAGCCTCTTCCTCCCCTGAGCTGCTTCTGTCACAGCAATGAGGAAAGTTACTGACACAGAAAACCTCCTCACTGGGCTGGGCATATAATCCTCTAATTTGTTCTGTGCCATTTGAAAATGAAACAGTTTAATCCCAGCGCTCAGAGGCAGAGGCAATTGGATCTTTGAGTTTGAGGCCAGCCTGGTCTATCTACCCTGCGAGTTCCAGGACAGCCAGAGCTACATAGAAAAACCCTGCCTTGAAAAACAAAAACAAAACAAAACAAACAAACAAATAAATAAATAAATTTAAAAAAAAACAAAAGGGAAGAAAGAAAATGAACCATCATTAGTCACTGTTGTGGTTTGGCTATAGGCACAGCATGACATTCCTTTCAGATCAGCCATGCTGTCAAGAAAGAGAGATAATCTTGATTCTGTAACCAGGACAACAAAACAAACAAGCAGTACAGTAATAAGTAGGTGTGCTGCAATGATTACGAGAGCATTAAACTCTAGTAGGAGGGGAGGCCACCACCCCAAGCTTGCCTGTGATCCTTCTCCTTTCCACTTGATCCGGGGTCCACATAGGGCAACGGTGCTACCCACATTCGGGGTAGATACTTCTGGTACAACTAATCAATTAAGAACATCCCTACCACCACCACCTGGAGGCTCAAGCCTTAATCCCAGTATTTGGGAGGCAGAGGCAGGCAGATCTCTGTGAGTTCGAGGCTAGCCTAGTTTACCAAGCAAGTTTCAGGACAGTCAGGGCTGCAGAGAAGCCCTGTCTTAAAAAAAAAAAAAAGGAAGAAAGAAAGAAAAAGAGGAGAAAAGAAAAAGAAGGGAAGGAAGAAACTCCCCCCCTTGTTGGGTGTGGTGGCTGAGGGATGTAGATCTTTGTGAGCCAAAGGCCAGCCAAGACTACACAGAAAGACTGTCTCAAAATAAACTAAAAAAGAAAAATCCTCAAAGGCATGCCCGAGGCCCACCTTCCAGGTGAGTCTCTCAAGTTGAGAGTTCACATAATCAGCACCTCCTTATCTAGAGTGAAAAGGAAAAGCTACTAAATTTATAGGACAAAGGAGAAAACCAAAACTATAATCAATTTGATTACCTCAACAGATCTAAGGTACTGTCATTTTTAAATACACATGAGCTGGGTATAGTGGTGCACGCCTTTAATCCCAGCATTTGGGAAGCAGAGACAGGTGGATCTTAAGTTCAAAGCCAGCCTGGTCTACATAAGAGGCTCTAGAACATATGTGGGTACAAGTGTCCTCCCACCCCTAAACTCAAAAGATGGACATGCAACTCAAAGGAATAGAATATGATCAGAAATGGAATCCATAAACAGTTACATTGTTTTTCTTTTTCTTTTTTCCCCTCCCAGAGACAGGGTCATGACAGATATTTTATGAGAAAAGCACTGAAGGAAATAAAAAGAAGGGTAATAGCCTGGCGGTGGTGGCGCATACCTTTAATCCCAGCATTTGGGAGGCAAAGGCAGGTGGACCTCTGTGAGTTCAAGGCTATCCTGGCTTGAAAATGTCCCCTCCCCCAAAAAAGAAGAAAGAAAAAAGAAAAAAAGATGGATTATGCTGGTGTGGTGGTGCACACCTCAAATCCCAGGGCTTGGAAGGCAGAGGCCATAGGGTCTGCCAGGCTGGTCTACTGAGCCAGCTCTGGGCCAGCCAAAACCACAAAGACAGACCCTGTCTCTAAACAAATTCTCTTTAAAATTAATTTAAAAATTAAATTGAAAGTTGAGGGGTGGTGGCATGTGTCTTTAATCCCAGCATTCAGGAGGCAGAAGCAGGTGGATCTCTGGGTTTAAGGTCAGCCCGGTCTACAGAGTGAGTTCCAGGACAGCCAGGGCAATGGCTGTTCTCTACAGAGACTCAATCTCAAAACCAAAGAGCTCAAGGCCATGTGTGCTAGTTTCATATCTGCTGATGTGATAAAATTCTGACAAAAAAAAAAACAATTTAGAGAAGGAAGGCATGTCTAGCTTACAATTTCAAGTTATAGTCCATTGCTATGGGGAAGTTGAGGCAGGACTTCAAGACAGCTAGTCACATCAGAGTCAAACGCAGAAGAACGAACAAATAAAACGTTTAGAATTCAATTGCTTTCTCTAATCTCCCAGAGTCCAGGGCCCCAAACCTGTGTCTGCCCATATCAATTAATCAATCAAGGCACACCTAGAGGCCAGCCTAAATTCAAGGATCTCTTCCCGGGCAGTCTTCCCAAACAATTCTACATTGTGTCAAGTTGAGAAAATAATCATTACATCCACTTTGCCAACACAGTTATGTCAAAGTTAGCTCCAGATACTTAAAAAGCAAGCCAAACAAAACAAAACAAAGTTACAAAATTTAATGGAACCAGCAAAATTTAGATTTTTCTGGCTTTAAAAAGGAGTTAGGAAGAGGAAAAGGCAAGCTAGAGAAAATGTTCCTGAAAGATCCCGGAGTTGGGAGACTCTCACTCAAGTCTCGGGATAACATGACACCCTCCCCCCAAGAACTCACGAGAGACCATCCTTGCTGTAATCACACGAGGTTTATTGACAGGAACCAGTGCTCTGGGGCTGAGACTCATATCCCACCCAGAGGTAGAGCAGTTCAACCCTGAGTAGCGGGGAGAAGGGGTATTTAAGGGAAGAAACCACAACCCAAAGGGGGTAGGGAAGGCGTCATTGGAAGATTCCGAAAATACCAGTGATAATCACAAGGGGGTAACTTCCCGTTTCTCAAGATTGTTCTCAAGATTATAATCTAACTTTGTGGTCAGCCAGTTCCTGGAACAAAGTCACTGAACCGGTTAACCTAGATTTTTGGCTCTACTCTTCCTGCTAGGGGGTCTGGATTTATCCTGGTCTTTTATTCCCAATACATCTTTCTGCCAAAGAACGGGTAGTATCCAGAATAAATTCTACAAACTAACGGTAAAAAGAGGAAAACATTATATAAGGGTAAAAGCCGCACTAATCCTAGCACTCAGGAGACAAAGGCAAACGAGTCTGGCACTAGAGGCCAGCCAGACTACAAAAGCAAGAGCACGTCTATAACTGGGAAACTATTTTAAAAGACAGCACAAAAGTTGTGCCTAGGGGCATTCAATCTTTGACACCGCGACGTGACTGGTCAGCTACAAACGCGTTGGTCTGCATTCTTATCTATAAACAACCTGCAAGGCTGCAGGTTGGAAAACACCCGCGAGACCCGAAGCTCGGGGAAATCCGGGTCCTGATAGTGACTGCCAACCACACACTCTGGTTGATAAAACGAGAACACTGCCCCTCATCTGAACACCCGAACTGGTGCCACGAGCCTGGCTGGACTTGAAGACTGAGCGCAGGGGAGCGTGGGAAATCTACCGAAAACAGAGGACTGCAACCCTGGAGGGCAGGAGCCGACAGAGGCCCGAGGGCTGCACGAGCTCCGTGCCAGCGAGCGGAACGAAACCCGAGCGCGAGTGTCGTGGGGATCCAGTGGGCGCGAGGGTCCGTACTCACCGGAGGGTCCTCGCGGTGAGCCCGCCAGGGAAGAGCGCTGCCCCGTCGGAAGCAACACTTGCGCCGAGCCTCCAGAGGAGCAGCGGCAGAGAGGTGCGGGCGCATCTGAAGGGTGCCGAAGTCTGAAGGGTGCCGGGGTCCGGTTGGCTTCAGCGCGAGCGCAGTGTCGCGGAGCAGGGCGGCCCAGAGCTGCACGCCACCGGACGATCGCCGAGCTCCCTGCAGCTCCGGTTGTCAGTTCGGCTGCGCGCCGCCCAGACTTCAACTCACTAGCGGAAATACGCCAGCCAGCGACTGAAACCATTTCCGGCATCTCTAGGAGCCGCGACTCAATGGTGCGCTCCTGATGAGCCCTTGGGAAGGCAGAACTGTACACCGAGCCGTCCGCAGAAGGTCCGCCCTCCTGGAGCCCCGGCTGCTACCGGCGGTCGTGCTTGCTGTGCACCTGGTTGGTGTGCCCCTGTCTCCATCTGAGTGCCCTTGTCCTTCTGGTCCCTCCACCGTGGAGGCTGGGCTGGGCTCTGGCGCTCCTGAACCCTCTAGGAGTTTGTTGTTTTTCAAAGTTTTTCTGTGTTAGCCCTGGCTGTGCTGGAACTCGCTCTGTAGATCAGGCTGGCCTCAAACTCAAGAGATCAGCCTGCTTCTGCCTCCCAAGTGCTGGGTTTAAAGGCATGCGCCACCACGTCCGACTTCTTTTTTTTTTATGATATGTATAATAAAGTATGGTCAAGTACAAGTAATAAAAGTTTCCATTTTAGCCTGTTGAGTGTACCAATAGTGTAGGGACCTGCAGTTTTGCGCTTTGCATGATTGAAAGCACGTTACCATAAAAATCAGAAATGCCCCTGTCCAGGGAACTTTCTTCAGTTCCTCCCCAGCAGCCAGGGTCAACAACGTTGTTTCTTTGGAATTTGTCCTAGGATCTTCTCTACCCCAGGTTTGCCAGGTGCATTCATGTGGTGGCATGGGGCAGGATTGCCACCTCATTCTGTTCACTCACCTGTCAGTGGACACTTGGGGCCACTGTGCTGCTAGATTTAAATCTAAAGACCCAAATTTACTTGTAATTCTAGTTTAGGCAACACTTCATTCCACAAAATAAGATAATCCCACGAACTGAGCAGATGTCTGTTTTACAGAGAGGAAGTTAGAGCTAATGGAAAGAAAGAAAAAGACAGAAACAAGACTGGTCTTGTCAAAATTACTTTCTTCTAAGGCGAGAGACGGACAATTAAAAAAAAAAAAGGCTGGGACACTGGGTTGGTCCAGGTTGCTTTCCTGTAAGGACCAGAGCAGAGCAAACTCCTGTCGTGCTCACGGAAACCCACCCTCTCCCCAAAGGCGAGACAACAGCCTAGTTTCCATTGATTCCTGACAACCGAGTATGGCCTACTCCTTTGCTAAGTCTGGTCAGCTAAGGGCCCAGTGCAGGAGCCTAGTGCCAAACGAGGGCCTCTTGTGGATTTTGTTGAGCAAGGGTGCTGTGTACACAGGTGTATATTACCTGTTTGCATTCACTTCTTTGGGTTATGTACTCAGGAAATAGAATTTCCAGAATTTTCTAGGTTACATGTTAATTCTATGTTTGATTTGCTGAGGAATCAACACACTGTCTCTACATCAGATACACCTGTGCTCGGAGCAGCAGCCCCAAGGGGTTCAGTTCCCCATCCTCAGCAACCATGTAAGTTGCTTTTGGGCTTTTTGTTTTGCTTAAATTGTAATCATACTATTATTATTATTTTGGTTTTTCGAGACAGGGTTTCTCTGTAGCTTTGGAGCCTGTCCTGGAACTAGCTCTTGTAGACCAGGCTGGGCTCGAACTCACAGAGATTTGCCTGCCTCTGCCTCCCGAGTGCTGGGATTTAAAGGCATACACCACCACCGCCTGGCTATTTTATTTTTTAAGGCAAGGTCTCACTATGAAGTGTTGGTTGGCCTGGAATGTGGACCAGGCTGGGATCAAACTCACAGATATCTGCCAACAAGCTATCATTGATAGAAAACAAACACTTCTCATATGTCATATATATACACATATATACATACATATGTTTATATACATACACATATAAACATACATATATAAAATTTCCATTTGAGTGTTGTGTTTTTATTCATTTCCCAATAGCAATGTTTGAAAAGGTTTTAGTTTCATGATTCAATGAGAATACAAAGACGGATTATCCTTTCAATAAAAAATTAGAAGAAAATATTAATGACATAGACAGACTGCAGCATCAAGGGGCTCTGAGGAGCATTGAGGCCTACACGGCAGAGTGGTGTCCTTTTTACAGGTTTCAGAGGGTGGGAAGCAGATTAAGTTTCCTTCTTTGGTTGTGGTTGGCCATTGTTAAAGCTGGTGAGAGAGAGCTGGAGAGATGGCTCAGAGGTTAAGAGCACTGGCTGTTCTTCCAGAGGTCCTGAGTTCAATTCCCAGTAACCACGAGGTGGCTCACAACTATCTATGGTGAGATCTGGTGCCCTCTTCTGGTATGTGTGTACATAATAAATAAATCTAAAAAGGAAAAAAAAAAGATAACAGTTCAAGACTGTCAGGTGACTGGCTCATTTCTCTCATGGTGGTCATACGGATCCCCAAGTGGGGGCATCAAGAATTTAGAGAAACTAATTATTTTACAAACTAATTAAACAAATTATTTTATAAACTAATTAAACAAATTAACAAATTATAAACAAATTAACAAATTATTTTATAAACTAACAGCCAAAGAGGAGGTCTCTGCAGGTGTCAGAAAGAGAAGTAAACCTTCTGAAGGAATGGGCATGAAAACTGACCTCATCAACCTGGAGTAAGACTTCTGATGTAGGCAGTTTATTCCCAACAAATTTTAAACACAGTACAACTTCGGGGCGGGGAGGTTTTCTGGCATAATACAATCTCTAGGGCACAAGAAAGCGTAATTACATTGAAACTTCATTCAGGGTAAATGTCATTTCCCCCAAAGAGATGGGTTTTAGCCAGGTGGTAGTGGTGTACACCTTTAATCCCAGCACTTGGGCTGTACAGAGCTAGTTCCAGGACAGTAGGGGATACACAGAGAAACCATGACCCCCCCCCCAAAAAAAAAGATTTTAAAATTTTATTTAATATGTATGGGTGTTTTCCCTGCATGTATGTCTGTATACCATGTGCGTGGCTTATGCCCAAGGAGCCAGAAAAGGCTGTCAGAACTCGAGTTACAAATGACTGTGAGCCATTATATGAGTGCTGGGAAACGGACCCCAGGTCTTCTGGCAGAGCAGGCAGTGCAGTTAAACTGAACCCTCTGAGCTCAGTTTTTTTGTTTTTGTTTTGGAGACAGGGTTTCTCAGCGTAGTCCTGGAACTCACTCTGTAGATCAGGCTGGCCTCAGATTCAGAGAGATCCGCCTGTCGTTGCCTCCTGAGTACTGGGATCAAAGGCTTGTGCCACCACCGCCCGGCTTCTGAGCTCAGCTTTAACAGGCACACACTCGTGTGGGAATGAATAGGGATTCTTGAAATATGTTAGTTTTTCATGCTGTGGCAACATATCTGAAGTTGACATGAGGATTTGTGTGTGCTCATTTTGGAAGGGTTTATTTAGTCCTCGGAGTTTGCTTCACTGCTGCAGGTCTGTGGGGTGGCAAAACCATCATCATTGATAGCATCATGGCAGCCAGGTAGCAGAGAGACAGTAAAAATGGTGGAGGGGTGTAACTCCCCAACCCCCCACGTCTGCCACTGCCCCCCCCCAGACTGACTTCCCTCTGCCCTAAGACTGACTTTCTCCAAGCCATTCAGATAAAAGGCGGGAGACCCCCGGCCCAGTTCGTGAAAGTTGTTTTCATTTTATCCACTATGTGTATGGGTGTTTTGCCTACATGTATGTGGGTACCACATGCACTTCTGGTGTCCATGGAGGCCAGAAGATAGCATTGGGTCCCCTGGATCTCAAGTTATAGGCAGTTGTGAGCTACCAAGTAGGTGCTGGTAATCAAACCTGGGTCCTCTGGAAGAGGAGCCAGTGCTCTTAACCACTGAGCCACCTCTCCAGCACCTTAGAAAGTGGCTTTGCAAAAACCCTATACAAAGATCAGGCATGGCATCACCCACCTTTAATTCCAGCGTTCAGAAGGCAGGGGCAGGTGAAACTCAGTGGGTTTGAGTCCAATCTAGGCTACACTGTCAAGTCCGTGTCGGCCAGGGTTGCACAGTGAGACTGTCAAAAAACAAACAGTAAAACTAAAGCTATACAAGTTGGGCATGGTAGACCACACCTACAATACACCCGACACCTGCAAGGCTGGCACAGGAACATCACCCCCGGCCAGCTGAGCTACAGAGTAAAACCATCGCAAAACATGAAACAAATCAAAATACCAACAAAATAGAATCCGGAATGGACTGAGCATACCAAGTGTTGGCAAGGACACTCACACACTGGCAGGAACGCAGGGCAGTACAGCACTGAGAGCTGTCAGCGGTTTCTTATAGAGCCAGAAAAGTACTTATTCCCACAGACTGAACATATGCATCCTGCGCTGAAATCCGAATCCCTAAAGCGATGCCATCAAAAGGTGGGGCTTTGGGGAGTGACAGGATTGTAAGTGACCCGGACTTCATGATCGGGACTTCTGCCCTTAGAAGAGGCTAGGGAAATCTCCCTAACACCCTTCTGCTGTGCTAGGCTGCAAGGAGCAGGCACCCACCCACGAATGCCTCACTAGCCCTTGGGTCCCTCAGACTCCAATACTTTGCAAAATGCGTTCCTACTGCCTATAAGCTACGCAGTTGACATTATTTTCTTCCAGTCACCTAAGACTGAGGTACTTATAAAAGTTGTAGTTACCTGAATATACATGTGCAAATGAATGCTTTTACGCAAATGTTCACCGTGGTTTATTCTTGAGCATCCATGCTGGAAACCCAATTTCCATAAGCAAATGGACCAGTGAGTACATGCTGGCCTAGCCGTCCAATGGGACCCTACTTGGCAAAGAGAACTCCAAATGCAAAGCTCCGTGACAGAGTATAAAGACACTTTGGCCACATGCCCAAGTGACCAAAGTCAGACACGAGGGCACCTATCTCAATCCATGTGTGGGTGGTCCTAGGACAAGCAATGCAATTCTACACTCACAGGAAATGGTTACCAGGGTAGGGGTTGGATTGACTCTGGGAAGAGTAAAAGGGGACTTTTTTTTTTTTTTTTGAGGTAAAAGAAATATTCCTTTTCTTGACTGTGGTATTGCAGAGGAACTTCCGAAACAGTAGGAAGTCGATACTACACTGTACTGATTGAAACTCTACTAGCTATGTCACGTGATGGTGAGTTTTCTAAAAAATTAATATCGTGTCCTTTTTAAATTATCTGCCCACTTGAAGTGCCTGGGGTTACTGGAATTTGCTAAAAACTCAAAATTTACCCTCTAGGAAAAAAATTATCTTCATATTGTCTCAAACTAATTGTTGTGACTGATGGTCTTTTCAAGGAATAGAGGCAGAAACGGCACATTTGCTGGCTGAAATCCACCGTGTACGAACCCTGAGCTGCAGGGTGGCCTGTGCTCTGCCCGTCTGTGCAGACACCGTCCCAAATCTCTGCTCTTAGGCTGGCAGATGTCCACTGACTTCTCTGGACAGTTAAAACATTAAGTCTGTGCCGGGCGGTGGTGGCGCATGCCTTTAATCCCAGCACTTGGGAGGCAGAGGCAGGCGGATCTCTGGG